AGCTTCCTTCCTTCTTCCTTTTAATTAGTGCTTGATAGTTTTTGATCACTTCAAGTTTGCTATGGAGCTGAAAAGAGATTAATTACCTGAATTTGAGAGGGTTTTTACATTTGTAAAGTGGCTTCTTTACTCACCAGAAAATACAAATCACAAATTGAAGCAAAGCAGAAATTGTGTCACATCCGTGCATCTGCCATTCTTCAATGGAAGAAGAAAGGGGGGGGGGGGAATTGATACAAGTAATCCTTTTTGATTTAACCTGAATATCTTAAAATCTTGTATTGAATTTGTATACATGTACATGATATACAACTGGTGGACTGGAGCCAGATGTCTGGAAACTTGTCGCCTCTTGGAGAGATAGCAAGAGGAGAAGGGACCATAAAAATTCCAGCTCTGAAAGATACTTCCTGGGAACCTCTTATAAGATATGTTCCCTGAAAAGGGGTGTGGGGGGGAATTAACATGTTGGTTCTTTGTTTGACTAAATCCACATTAGAATTAAGGGGAGGGGTTCTAACCCCCTTTATTACTGTATGTCTGGAAGCATCTTAGATTCTGCTTTGACTAGTGCTGGGATCACTTCCTTTCAATAAGGAGTCGGGAAAGTAATGCTTCTCCCTCTATCCTACACTTTTCTCTCCTTCCCTCTTCCGCCACTATTTTACCTTTACTTTTATTTTTCTGTATATTTTGTATTTTATGCTATGATAAACTAATAAAGATTTGAAAACACGAACAACATACTTATTGTGAAGTTTGAACGGCCGAAAACATTGATTCTAAATAATATTCCATACGTGACAAATTTATGGGTTACATTAGTCTTTCCCAAGTGAGTTCGTCTTTCTTGAAAGTTGCAGATGTATTCAAAGGCTTTCAGAAACCTTTCAGAACTCTGTCATGTAGTTGCTGAAAAAGCAAGTTTTCACATAGCAAATGAAGAGCCTTAGTCAAGAAAGGAAAAACATGCATTGTTAAACTTTTAAAAGAGGAGTAGTCTGCCATGTTGAAAGGGCTAATATGACCTTTTACATTCGTGATGAAGCATAAAATCTGAGACAACAGGATCATGCACCCTATTTAACTTTCTGTGAATTAACTATGTTTTCTTGGACTTTGCCTCAGTCTTCTTCTCAGCTATAGGCTTTTTCTCAAGGGGTTTTGTTTGTTTGAGCTGATGTTCAGTGTTGTCCAGAGTGCAGCGGCAGCCAAAAACGCCAATGCAATCCTAAGTTGCATTAACAGGGATTTGATCAAGATCAAGGGAGGTACTGATACCATTCTATAAAACCTTAGTAAGGCCACACCTAGAGTAACTGCATCCAGTTTTGGTCACCGCACTATTAAAAAAGAGGCTGAGACTCTAGAAAAAGTGCAGAGAAAAGCAACCAGGATGAGGAGGGGACTGGAGGGTAAAGCCCTAACCCCCCCTCTGCTTTTGCACTGTGCTACCCAAGCAATGAATTGTGGCCACTGCAAAATGGCCGCCTTTCAAGGACGATGCCATCTGGCCTGCAGGGATTCCAAAGATGGAGCGTCCAACTCTCTACATTATAAGCTCTGGAGAGCTACAGAGAATTAACGTTTAATGATAGGAGAGGGGAGAGGAAGCAACCTTAAGGCCTGTGGGGACCTGAGGGGTGGAAAACAAAGTATGGGGTGCCTCGAAGGACAGAGGCCTAGGAAGGCTGGTGAGAGGTGGGCCTGGGACTGCACTAAGTCACCCACAATGTTCCCTCCCCAAGGTACTCGGTGTTGCCGTTAACAATGCCCCCCCCTTTAATGACCACATTGGGGAAGAGTATGGATGGGGGTTAAACAAGATGTGTCCACAACACCTGTCCAGGTTGCCTGTTCCTTCTTATGCTACTCAAGGAGGCCTTAGTTTTGAGATTCTTACATTTCATTCACCCTCTGAACTGCATAATCTGGACCACATTTCAACCCTGAGCTAAATATTCTCCTTTATCGAGACCTATAGAGTCCTTGACTTACAATAAATCCTTTAGTGACCAAAGTTAAAATGGCACTGAAGAAAATGAAAAAAAAAGCAACTTATTTATAGCATCACCATCATCACGTAATCAGACTTCAGGTACTAGGCAACTGGTTCACACTTACGATCACTGCTGTATCCCAAGGCCATTTTGCAACCTTCTGACAAGCAAAGTCAATGGGGAAGTCAGATTCATTTAACAACTGGGTTAAGTAACTTAACTGCAGTGATTCACTTAACGGTGGTCATAAAATGGGATAAAACCCGCATAACAAATGTCTCATTTATCAACAGAAATTTGGGAGTCAATTGTAAAGGAGGGATTTCCTGACTGTGAGAACAATCAAGCCAATGGAACAGACGTTGCCTTCAGAAGTTGTGGGAGCTTCATCACTGGAAGCTTTCAAGAAGAGACTGGACTGCCCTCGGTCAGAAATGGTGTAGGGTCTCCTGCTTGGGCAGAGGGTTGGACTAGGCCTACACCATCCCTTCCATCTGTTAATCTGAAATACATTCCCCTTTAATGGATTCCTTCTCCAAAATCAGCTCTAAATTCCTTTACAGTCTTTTAGGGCCACCACCACGGTCCCAGACCTGAATTTGACTTTGTGTCAATCACATGTAGTAAAATGACACTCTGTCATAAGTTTAAGCATTCTATGTTCCATTGCATTAACAATAAATAGTAACAAACAAAAACTGTCGAGATCTGTAGAGTTGCATCACAAAGCATTTTGGGGGAAGGTGTTACATTTGCCACTCAGAATCCTCCTGAAAGTAAACACCTTTGAACGCTGCAAAATACGTCTGGTTTCCTCTGCTCGCTATCAGCTATGTTGGGACAGATGTCTTCAGGTCAGGACGGACAGGCAAGTGACTTATGTTAGATGTACGGACAGCTCCAAGAAGCAGAGGGGTGGTTTCTTCAGAAGCTCAGCCTGAGTTCCCAGCATGAGCCTCAACTACTAAAAAAAAAAAACGATTCTGGTCTGGCTTGCTGAGTAATATATAAATTACATCACCGTTGACTGAATAAATTTGTGAGGATAAGTACTATGCATAATTGAATATAGTCAAACTAATTGCGTACCCCTTGCAGTATTTGCAAGATGTGGATCAATTTGTATTATGAGTGATCAGAGAAAATACTTTAATAATTTGGAATGTTAAAGTGTGAGGTCACACAAATAGCACATTCGTTCAACAAACCATAGCAATAAATACTAAAACGGTCCTCTTCAGAAGTTTGGTCCTTAATGCTTGGGTTGATAATAAATTATACACTCAAGTTGAAACACACAGGTTGAGATGGCAGTGAAGGGTTAAGTATCTACATCTGTACGTTACTGAATGGCAACTAGGGCTGTGAAGTTCAACAAATTTCTTAGCCTTTAAAAACCCTTGTGCATTACATCTGGGGCTGCACCGACTTTGCTGGGCACCGAAGCATTGTAGCAACACTCCATATGGAGCCGCGATGGCTCAGCGGTGAAAGATTCTGACCTGGGAAGCTCGGGTTCAAGACCCAAGAGCTGTAGATGACTAAGCTGAGCTGGAAGCAGGGGTCAAATGCATCATGAAGTCCCTCCATGCCCATAAGCTATCTAAATCCAGCCCACCTTCCCTTGACCATTAGTAGCTCAGATTCTTGTGGAGAGCTTAAGTTTACGATAAATCTTTATACACATTTGAACTGTTTGCATCTCCTGATTTCCCCAGCGTTTGAAAAAAGAGCTGCATGACTGAATGAACTCTCTTCCTTGCCCCAGTTCCTGCCCAAGGAGTGATTTTGAAAGCATGTGAATGCAAGTTGATAAATAGGTAGGGTAACAGCATTCCAGGTGCATCAGCATATAGCCATGCTGGCCACATGACCAGGAAATTTCTTCAGACAATGCTGGCTCCTTTGGCTAAGAAACAGAGATGAACAGCACGCTTAGTGTTGGACACAACTGGACAGGGGAAACCTCTACCTGTGAATTTCTATGGTTTTGTTTCTGTGTGGATCCTTCCGTGAAATCTCCATGATTTTGGAGATTTCCATTTGTTTTAAAGAATTTTTTACTCTGTGCATCTGTAAACTTTCTTCGCTGGATGAAGTCCATATTTACTGAGACCTTGTCACTGAAGCTCTTTCCACACTCCAGACATGTACACAGTTTTATTCCTGTGCAAACTCTTTGAAGTTGGTGAATGTGTCCACACTTAGTAAATTTCTTTCCACTGCCTGACGTTTATAGGATTTCTCACCTGAATGGATTCTTTGATGTATATGGAGGTTTCCTCTCTGACTGAAGCTCTTTCCACATTCCAGGCATTTATACGGTTTCTCTCCTGTATGAATTCTTTGATGTTGACAGAGATGCCCAGCCTGAGTAAAGCATTTTCCACACTCTAGGCATTTAAAGGGTTTTTTTCCCAAATGGATTCTCTGATGTGTATAAAGGCTTGTCTTGTGACTGAAACTCTTTCCACACTTTAAACATTTATACGGTTTCTGTCCTGTGTGGATTCTTTCATGTCGATGGAGGTGTTCTACCCGACTGAAAGATTTTCCACAATCCAGACACTGATATGGTTTCTCTCCTGTGTGGATTCTTTGATGTTGACTGAGGTGTCTGCCATCAGTAAAGCTCTTTCCACACTCGAAGCATTTATATGGTTTCTCTCCTGTGTGGATTCTTTGATGCATATAAAGGCTCCCATTTTGACGGAATCTCTTTCCACAATCCAGGCATTCATATGGTTTCTCTCCCGTGTGGATTCTTTGATGTTGACAGAGATGTGCACTCTCAGTAAAGCTCTTTCCACACTCCAGACATTTGTATGGCTTCTCCCCTGAATGGATCCTTTGATGTCTATAAAGATGTCCCTTCTGACTGAAGCTCTTTCCACACTCCGGGCATTTATATTCCTTTTCTCTCATGTGGATTCTTTGATGATTTCTCAGACTTCTGAGTTTTGTAAAGGACACTCCACACTCTGGGCATTTCCAGATTTGTTCTGTAGTGTGAATTCTTTGATGATTATAAAGGCTTCTCCTCTGACTGAAGCTCTTTCCACATTCCAGGCATTTATGCAGTTTTTCTCTCGCGTGGATTTTTTTATGTTTACAAAGGCTCTCCCTCTCAGTAAAAGTCTTTTCACATTTCAGGCATTTATGCAGCTTTTCACCTATGTGAATTCTTTGATGTCTAAGGAGGTGTCCACCCACAACAAAGCTTTTTCCACACTCCTGGCATTTATATGGCTTTTCTCCAGTGTGGGTTCTTTTATGTATATTAAGGTTCCCACTGAGCCTGAAGCTTTTTCCACATTGAAGGCATTTATATGGTTTTTCTCCTGTATGGATTCTTTGGTGTGCATAAAGGTTTCCACTCAAACTGAAGGTTTTTCCACATTCCAGGCATTTATACGGCTTTTGCCCAGTGTGGATTCTTTCGTGAACACGAAGAGTTCCTCTCTGAGTGAAATTTTTCCCACATTCCCGGCATTGAAACGGTTTCTCTCCCATGTGGATTTTTAGATGGTTTTTGAAGTTTTCGTATGTTTTGAAGGATTTTTCACATTCTGAGCAACCGTATTTCTTTTCTCCAGAGTGGATTTTTAAATGGTTTTCAAGATGTCCATTTCTTTTGAAGGACTTTTCACATTCCGGGCACTGATATCGCTTTCCTCCCTCCTGGATCCTCTGGGGATTCCCGGGTCTTTCGAAGGACTCTCCGCCCGCCAGGACCGTCTCGGAGTCTCCGCCCGTTTCCTTCTCCCCGCATTGCCCTCCGGGCAGCCGCCTTTCCCGGGGTTCCCCTGGGCTCATCCCTCCTGCAGCCCCGAGGCCTCCCGGCCTTTCTCCGCCATCTCCCGGACAAGCCGCGTCGGGACCGGGCAGGGCTGCTCCGCGGGGGCCGCTCTCGTCCTCCTCCTCCTTTCGGGCAGCGCCTCCTTCCTTCCCCCGCCAGGCCGCTCCGTCCTCCTGAGGGGGAGAAAGAGAAGCGGGTCGCGGCTGCGTTCTTTTCCCCACAGGAGAAGCCCAGGCCGAGGCCTTCCCCGTCTCCCGTAACTTCCAAGCAGGCCCCGCGCTCTATTTGCATCCGGTTCCTCTGTGTCCGAGCCGCACCGCTCCTTCCGTCAGCTCTCTGATTCCGGAAGTGGGGCGAGACCTCCCAACCGCCGCCCCTTCCTCTCTAGGCAGCGCATCATTTTAGGTCTCCTCGAATGTGGGCTTTCTGGAGGTTTCGGATGAAAAGCCCCCTGGCTCTTGGCGAGACGGAGGCCCAGAGTGGAAGGGGGGGCGGGGGGGGGCTTGTCTTTGTAGCAGGTGGGAAGCAGAAGGGAGCGCAGCCCCAACCCCCAGTGCCATCCTTGCATCTGGCAGAAGTACGGAAGCCGAGAGGGACATCCAACGGGGAAGAGGAGAACTGAAAGGACCTGAAAGAGGACTCGGTGGGGCCCGAGGCCCCGTCCACGCAACACGCTTCCCACCCCCGGCTGGCGTCACGGGCTGACTGCAAAGCAAAATTAACCCGAGTTAAGAGCAGCCAAGCAAATACAGCCGTGAGGGCTTCCCTTCCCCGGGGGACGCATCTGGGGGGGGGGGGCGGGGGGGGAGGAGATCACCTGGGGAGCCATCAAAAGGAACCCCCCCCAGGTGAGTCTCTTCCTAGGACACTTTCCAGGAGTCGAACATGGCTTCCCCATTAATCAACCCTGCGAGGTAGGGCAGCCCCTCAACTGCAAAAGCAATAACCACGATTTACTATTGGACTCAGTTTTACTCTTGCTTCAGCAAAAGGACCATTTTGCTATTTCTTTTATTCTTATGGTTTGTTTGGTGATGGCGCTGTTCTCATTTTCTTCCTGCTTCCCTTTCCAGGAAAGGACCAAATACGCATTTTCACTTTTGAATACAACTCTGATATATTAGCTACCAATAGGGAAAGGCTTCCCCAAGTCCAGGAGCCCTTCTGAAACCAACCTGCCTCTTGGAAGGCATCCTCACTCTGATAACTGACAGTAACTGGCAGTTTAGCCTGCATGGATGAGGTCATAAAGCCATCGGAATTCACATGGAGATGACAGGTGGCCTATCAAACCTCACCTGCTCCACCTTTTGCACCAATGCCAGGCAAATGTCTACAGGAAGCGACCAGACCAATCACTAAAGCTGCCCACTTCTCATGTTTTTGCACAAAAGGTAGATTGTTGGGTGTCAAGTGCCTCTTTCTAGGGACGCTTCACCAAGTCTCATTTATATAGCCTCAGGTCAACGTCCCATCACATTCCCTTTGTGCTGCCGTGCTGTTGTTTTGTTCCATCATCCCAGGTGAGCTCCCTCCATTATTTCTGCTTAGGTGCAGACACATTTTTCTGAACCCCAAAGTATTGTTAAATGGTGCCAAGTTTAAGGACGGAGAGAAATTCTCTCGAATTTTGAACTTCAATTACCAGCAGGATTGGGTTGTTTTCTTTTGTGCAGGTAGCCTATAGCAAGTCTGCACAGCAGCACTTTTAGGCAGGGCAGAGGGAGGGCTGGACCCTGTGTAGCCCTTGGACAGGTATCAGGCAGGGATCTTGTCCACAGCTGCCCAGTTGAGAACCCAACATTCCTGATCCAGACTCCCACAAGGCCTCTCATCCCTCCCAGGACAGTTGCCATAATAGTAATCTAAAGTCAAATCCCTGTAATTTAAACCATTGTTTCTTGCCCTACCTTCTGGAGCAAAGAAAATTTTGAAGGGACCTTGGAGGTCTTCTTGCCCAGACCCCTGCTCAAGCAGGAGAAATCCATGCCATCTCAAGACAAGTGACTGTCGTTTCTTCTTTAAAACCTCCAGTGATGGTTTGTGGTGGCAAGCTGTCCCACTGGTTAATTGTCCTCACTGGTCGGAAGTTTTTTCTCAATTCCAAGAGAAGAAATGAAAACGGCAAGCGAAGCCAGGATGAGGGTGCAGGAGAACCACATTAACTGCATGGGGCTGCATTGAAATGAGCATTGTACTAAAAGAATGCTTGCACAGGGAAAAGCGTCGAGCCTCATAAGCTTCTGTTGTGAAAAAAATACAATTATAATCAACTGAAACTTCTAGCAAGTGCAACCGAAAAAGTCCTTTATTATTCGGCCTGAGAAAGTCCCTTATCAGACAGTTGTAAAATTACAAGCATCTAGAAACTTTCTATATTACAAGGTTATGATAAAAATATAAAAGTTACAAGGAAGTACAAGAAACCCGTTATGGCGTGCATAACTTGAATTGCTAGGAGGGAGTAAAGGTAGCCCTGGATCAGGTTGGAGGCAAAAAGGAGAGAAAAGGGTGAGTTGGCCCATTAATAATCAAGAGTGCAGTTTATTCTCTGTATGGAAGGACGGAGTGTGCCAAAAGGTACAGAAGGGGTGAGAGTCTTATTTTCAAGGGAAGAATTAACCCAGAAGAAAACTCCCTAATTTCCAGGCACATGGAAAGACCTGTGGGGACAATGGAAATTGGTAAGTTTCCTCAGAACGTTCCAGTAGCAACTCCTGAATCGTAAGGTGCAACTGTTTCTTCTAGGACAAAAATAGAGGACCTATCATTCCTGTGGGATTGAAATTTGGAAAAGTTATGGTTGTTTTAGCATTGCCGTGATGCCATGCACATCATGATCATTTCCAGAAGTCAATGGGAAAGCCAGCTAGAAGTCTAACGTTGATCATAAGTGCCAATGCTCTCTGCCAACTTCGTACAAATGAAAACAATTAACCAGTGGAACAGCTTGCCTTCAGAAGTTGTGAGTGTTCCATTCTGGGAGGCTTTTCATAAGAGACTGAACTTGTCTGGAATGGTATAGGATCACAAAGTTGGAGCACAAGACCTCCAAGATACTTTCCAATTATTATTGTTATTCTGTTGCTGTGCATGTACACTGAGACCTTCTGCACTGGAGACATATTCCTCGCACATCTAATTACACTTGACCAAATAAAGTATTTAATTTGATTTGTATTTTTATTACTATGATCATGATTATCACTTATAGCCTTTATGTACAATGAGAGTTTATGCACCGAAGACTAATTCCTTGTGTCCAATCACACTTGACCAATAAAGAATTCTAATCTAATCTACTCAGACATACATGACCGAAAGTCATTCCACACTCAGACAAGTTTGTTTTTTCCCCATGTGAATCCTTCGATATAGAAGCGCTTCTCACTCACAACATTTATACGGTTTTTCTCCTCTGTGGAGTCTTTGATGTGAATTACGGGTTTGCTGTGAATTGAATCTCTTACCACATTCCAGGTATTTGCAGGTAGCCCTCGATTTACAACTACAATTCAGCCACAAATTTTTCTTGCTCAGTGAAACATTTAAGTGGATTTTATGACCCTTCTTGCCAATTATGTAAATCACTAACGCAGTTAAGTGAATCTTAAGTGATTTTGCTTGTAGGAAGGTCACAAAAGGTGACCAAATGATCCCAGAACACTGCAACCATCATAAATAGGAGTCGGTTTACAAACGTCTGAATTGTGATCATGTGACATAAGTGTGAAAAACAGCCATAAGTCACTGTTTTCAGTGCCATTGTAACTTTGAACAGTCACTAAATGAACTACTGTAAATCGAGGACTAACTGTATCTGGTTATTCTCCCATGTGGAGACTTCCACTCTCACAGAAACTCTTTCCATACTCCAGGCCCGGATATGGTTTTCTCTTGTGTGAAGCATTTGATGTCTATAGAGAGAACCTCTCCCACTGGAGCTCTTCCTACATTTCAGACACTGATAAGGTTTTTCTCCCGTGTGGATTCTTTTATGTGCATAAAAGAGGCTCGTGTGACTGAAGGTCTTTGCACACTCCAGGCATTTATAAGGTTTTTCTCCCGTGTGGGTTCCTAGATGGTTTTGAAGATGGTTATTTCTTTTGAAGGAATTTTTTTACAGTCTGGGCATTGATACTTCCTTTCTCCCTCCTGGGGAGGGGGACTCCTGGGTCTTCCTAGAACCCTCTGCCCTCCAGGCATTTATTCGGTTTCTCTTCTGAGTGGATCCTTTGCTGTCTATACAGAGAACCTCTTATGTTGAAGCTCTTCCCACACTGCAGACACTTATAAGGTTTTTCTCCCATGTGGATTCTTTGATGCTTGTAGAGGATGCTCCTGTGACAGAACTCTTTCCACACTCCAGGCATCTATAGGGTTTCTCTCCTGAGTGGATCCTTTGATGTTCATAGAGGATGGTCTCATTACCAAAGGTTTTTCCTCATGTCAGACATTTATGACATTTTTCTCCCACGAGGATTCTTTGATGTGCGTAACAGCTGCTTGTCTGACTGAAGCTTTTGCCACACGCCAGGCATTTATTAGGGTTTTCTCCTAAGTGGATTTCTTAGATGGCTTTGAAGAAGGTCACTTGTTCATTTGTTCTATTGAGTGGATTCTTACATGTTTTTCAAGGATTTGAATGGTTTTGAAGCCTTTTTCACATTCCCAGCATTCGTAGTGTTCTTGTAAATGAATTACTTGATGTTTACTAAGGCTGCTGCTATGACCAAAGTTCTTTCCACACTCCAGGCACTTATAAGGTTTCTCTCCTGAGTGGATCCTTTGGTGTCTATAAAGGATGCTGCTATGACCAAAGTTCTTTCCACACTCCAAGCATTTATGAGGTTTTTCTCCTGTGTGGATTCTTTGATGTGCATTAAGGCTGCTCGTCTGACTGAAGCTCTTTCCACACTCAAAGCATTTATAAGGTTTTTCTCCTGTGTGGACTCTTTGATGTCTATCATGGCTGCTCCTGTGAGGGAAGCTCTTTCCACACTCAAAGCATTTATAAGGTTTTTCTCCCGTGTGGATTTTTAGATGGCTTTGAAGAAGATCTTTTGTTCTGAAGGATTTTTCACATTCTGGGCATTCGTATTTCTTTTCTCCTGAATGGATGCTTAGATGGCCTTGAAGATGTCCATTTCTTTTGAAGGATTTTTCACATTCCGGGCATTTGTATTTCTTTCCTCCCTCCTGCATCCTTTGGGGCCTCCTGGCTCTTCGGAAGGACCCTCCGCCCTCCAGGGATTGATTTAGTTTCTCTTCCGAGTGGATCCTTTGATGTTTATGAAGGCTGCTGCTATGACAGAAGCGCTTTTCACACTCCGGGCACTTATAAGGTTTCTCTCCTGTGTGGATTCTTTGATGTTGCGTAAGATCTCTTGTCCGATTGAAGTTCTTTCCACACTCAAAGCATTGAAATGGGTTTCCAAATAAGTGGATTCTTAGATGCCTTTCAAGATCTCCGTTTCTTTTGAAGGATTTTTCGCATTGTGGGCACTGATATTTCTCTTCTCCTTCCTGGATCCTCTGGGGATTCCCAGGTCTTCCGAAGGACCCTCCACCCTCCAGGCATTTATTCAGTGTCTCTTCCGAGTGGATCCTTTGTTGATGTCTATAAAGGTATTCCTTCAGATGGAATCTCTTTCCACACTCCAGGCATTTGTATGGCTTTTCTCTGGAATGGACCCTTTGATGTCTAGAGAGGTTTCCCAACTGACTGAAGCTCTTTCCACACTCCGGGCATTTATGAGGCTTTTCTCCTGAGTGGATTCTTTGATGTCTATCAAAGTTGCCCCTATGATTGAAGCTTTTTCCGCACTTCAGGCATTTAAATGGTTGGTCTTTTGGGTGGCTCCTTAGATGGCTCTGAAGATGTGAATTTGTTTTGAAGGATTTTTCACATTCCGGGCACTGATATTCCTTTCCTCCCTCCTGGATTCTCTGGGGATTCCCGGGTCTTTCGAAGGACTCTCCGCCCTCCAGGCCCATCTCGGGGTCTCCGCCCGTGTCCTTCTCCCCGCATCGCCCTCCGGACAGCCGCCTTTCCCGAAGTCCCCTTCGACTCATCCCTCCTGCAGCCCCGGAGACTGCCGGCCTTTTCCAGCCTCCTCCTCTCGAGCGGCGCCTCCTCCTTTCCTCCGCCGGGCTCCTCCGTGCTCCTGCAGGGGAGAAATGGAGGCGGGTCGCGGCTGCATCCCCTTCCCCGCAGGGGAGGCCCGGCCGAAGCCTCCGCCTCTCACGGGCCTTCAGGCAGGCCCCAGACGGCCATGGCCCCGCCCCCCCCCCGCGGCTCCCAGCAGGCCCCGCGGTCTACTTGTATCCGGTTTCTCCGTCTCCGAAGCGCGCCGTTCCTTCCGTCAGCTCTCTGGTTCCGGAAGTAGGCCAGACCTCCCAATCGCCGCCTCCTTTCCGTGAAGACCCGCCCAGCGCCGCCTTTAAGCCTCTTCGGTTTTTTCCGAATGTGGGATTTCTGGGCTTTCACGCCGTTCGTATTTGCATACGTGTGCCCTCTGCGCCCTCCCATTGGCTGCCGACCGCCCCTTGCTCGAATCTGTGGCACCGCCCTTTCTCGTTCCGCCTCCTGGCTCCTCCCCCTACCTTGGCTCCGCCCCTCTACGGGCCTCGCCGGCCGCGCCATGCCCGGAGTGTCCGGCCTCCCTGCGGGGTCTCCTTCCGGGGCGGGGCGGCGGTTGAGGGGGATACTCTGACAGGAAGGCCCGCCTCCCCAACGCCCGGCCTACCTCGACCCGCAAAGCGCCTTAGGAGGGGGAGCAGAAAGGGGGGCGCGTTTCCCGTACCCTTCCTCTGCCTCCCATCCCCCGGCACCCCCTGCCCCCACCCACCCATGGATCCCCCCCATGTGTCTGAAATGGTCTCCTGCTTGAGCGGGGTCAGACTAGAAGACCTCCAAGGTCCCTTCCAATTCTGTTATTCTGTTCCTGGCCAATTTGGGTGAGCAGGACTACTTATTCTGCCTTTCACACAATGCCAAGCTTCTCCTGCTAACGTTTCTCCTACCAGACGGTCAGAAATAAAACCCAGTCTTGTGAAACACAAAGCATTTTAACACAAAAGAGACAAATTCAACTCGGAATCGAGTAAAAAATTTAAAAAAAACGTGTTCCAAGCAGCTGCTATTCCAATTGTGGGAGCCCATTGTTTGCTTGCTCACAACACAGGTCTGCGCAGGGATTCAACTGAGGCCGATGTCTTAGAAGCACAGCTACGTTTTCTTCCTTTCTCCAAAATGAGAAACCGTCCATATAACCCAAACAGCTTCTTTCAGGAATCCAAGTCAACATAGCTACGGGCCAATCACTTCCTGCTTCTCCTTTCCTGGAAGGTCACTCCCATCACTGGGAGTTGATGCAAATGGTCTTGGGAGAAGCAGCTCAGGCCCGCAAGAAGCGGGGAGTTGTAGGAAAAATCCTATGGGTGGCAGAATTGTGTCTCAGCGCTTACACAAAGGACTTGGTTCCACCCTTTGGTTAACAAAACACAAAAAAGTGACGTGCCCCAACAACACATACCTTCATCAAGGCTTAACACCAGATCTAGCATGTGGGGACTGTCCTGCTGTCACAAATAAGAGCAAAAAAGGGCGGTTTTGATTGCCAGACAGTGCAATGTTCACAATGCAGTTGGACAACTAGGACTCGTGCCAATTTCCTCAAGCTTCCATCTGCCAAAGCCCCAGAATTCTCCGTGTTGACCGTGCCGGCGGGTGAATTACGAAAACTGCAATCCTAGCCTCTGTTGGTTACGCTAGATTGGGGAAGGCAGCTTGAGAAGTGAGGAAGGCAATTTCCCTGCATCCTAAGACAGGAGATGCTGCTCATAATTGTCAAAATCTACCCAGTAGCAAAGATGCCACCCCCAAAAACTCGACCCCTTCCTGGGTTTGGGGGTTACATTTCCAGGCCAAGGGCCCCAGAAACACACACTGGGGTTTAGGAATAAAGAGACGAATGGAACCAAAGGGGCTGCTGCCGTCACTGATGGATCCCCCTTTTCTGGAGGCGCCGGCTTCTCCGGATCCTGCCTGGGCTGCTGTGGCCTGAGTCGACATAGGTTCCAGGCTCCTGAAAAGAAGACAAGATTCACAGATGCAGCACAAGACCAATTGTACGCTACAGAGGGATTCCTGGGTCTGGCATATTGCTCGCATGCCCACCACGGAAGGATGGAAGGCCGAGTCAACCTTGAGCCCAGTGGAGATTCGATCTGCCAAACTGCAGGCAACTGCAGGCAGTCAGCAGAAGTAGCCTGCAGTACTGCACTCTGACCACTGGGCCACCATGGCTCTTAAATTGCGTATTTGTGGTAAGATACCACAGGTCTACATAGAAAAAAAGCACTAAAATCTCCCTTTTAAGGATTCCCACCAGCAAGATTACCTCCAGTTCCTCGCTGGCCTCCATTGTTTCAGCAGGGCCATCTCTGGTTGCTCCTTGGGGTTCTCTCTCAGCCTCCTCCTCTTCTCCTTCCTGCCCCTCTTCTTCTTCCTCCTCTTCTCCTTCCTCCTCCTCCTCCTCTTCCAAAGCCGAGCTGGAATCTTCTCCCTGGCTGCCCTCCCACCACCTGCCCCCCGAGAGGGTCGTGACCACCCTGGGAGGGGGCAGCGCGGCCAGAGCAGCTGGGAAACTAAAGGCCGCCAAGAACCGTTCTCTCAGGAGCTGATAGGCAGGGTTGTCCTGGAGCTTCTGGCGCACCGCCTGCCTCAAGGCCTCCAGGTCCGGCTGGCTGGGCTCCTCCCGCTGCCCTTCGGGGTCCAGAAGAGAGGCAGCGCTCTGCTCCAGGGACCGTTTGTTCAGCAGCAGCGCCGAGAGGGTTTTCAAGCTGCACAGAAACGGGGGCAGATAAGGCAGGCCCCTTCCCAGCACAGGAGCCCTACCCTCCCGGTTCTCCTTGGCCCACGCCTTCACTGCCGGCTCAGCTTCGAGGGAAAGGAGACGAGAAAGCGGGGAAGCGGTGCCCTCCTGGGGTGGACGTGGCGTGGGGCAGGCCTCCAGGGCCGGGTTGGAGGGGACCTCTTGCGTGGCTGGGCCTTGATTCGGATGGGGTGGGGGAGAAGCCTCTGAATTGGGGGCGCTGGCCGCCGTCCCTCCAAAGACAGTGCAAGGCAAGGCAGGCGCCCCCGCACCAGCAGGGGACGGAGGGCACCCCACTTCTGTGGAGTTTCCAAGTAGTGGCGGCGGCGGAGGAGGAGGAGGGGGAACATCTGCCAGCCGGGGGCCTGCATCACTCTGGGGGCAGCCAGGATGGCCCGCTGGCATTGGGGATCCCTCTACCACCGGATCCCCCATAGTTGGGGTGGGGATCTGGACTGAAGTCTCTGCAGGCTGGCTGGGATTTGTCGGAGGGCCACTGGCCAGCGGCTTTCCTTGGCTGGGGAGGGTCAGCAAGGTGACCGGGAGAAGGCCCTGAGGGGTCAGCACCCAGCTGATGGGCAGGGCGGGCTGGGCCACGGCCGTGGGCTGCGCGTGGGCAGCTACCAATGTAGGCAGGAGGGGAGGGAAAGCACCAGAGGCCGGAGAGGGGCAAAGGGCCTCTGCCAGGATGGGGTTCACCTTAGCAGGAGGCCCAGCAGGATCCCCCTGAGGTGAAAAGCTCTCTTGGTTGCTGTCTCTGCCTTCCCCTCCAGCGGCCTCGTCCTTGTCCCCATTGCAGGGAAGGCTCCTCTCCCGAGAGGCCCCCGCCAGGTCTGTGGGAGAGGCCGAGTCTCTTCCAGGCACGGAAGCCGAAGCAGGAGGAGGCCTTGGGGACACCTGGCTGGCCGCAGGAGCGTTAGGGCAGTTGGCCAGGGGGGCCATGGGACCCCTTGTCTGTGGGACCACGACAGAGGCCGAGAGGAGCAGCTGAGGGGCGAGGAAGATCCTCTTCTGGGAGCCCTTCCTGGCCGACTGCTCGCGCAGCCTCTTCTCCCGCAGCAGCTCCGAGACGGTTTTTGGCTTGGGGGCCAGACCGGGCGGTGAGCGGGCCTTCCAGGTGTTGGCGGGGACAGGCCCCTCTTTAGCCTTCAGAGGAATCAGCTTCTTGTTGGGCTGGCCGCTGGCTGCTGGCTGGCCGAGCTGAGCTGGGCAGAAAAAAAAAAGCAGAAGCTCAAATTTGGGATCTTTGCAGCCACTCTACTAAAAAAAAGCCCAAAGCCCGTCCCTCCAGCTGCGTCATTTGCAGACAGGACACAACCACCCTGTTGTCAACTAGGCTCAAGGCTCACGATTTAATTGGAGTTAACTGCCTGACCCCTGACCCCTGTTACAGCCTCTCCTCCCTCCGTCCTTCCATCACCTGCCAGGGTCTGGCTTCACAGAGTGCCAATCCTCCAAGGGGGCAGCCCTTTGGCTCTGGAATCTCAGCCTGCCACTGGACTAGAACCCTCTGTTGGCTCAATTTCACCTTCAGGCATCTGCTCCTGCTACTCGGGATGACCGGTGGGAAGCCTCCAGGCGGGAGCCACAGTGAGATCCCAGGCAAGGCAAGGCCTCTGACAGCAGCCTGAGATTTGAGCACAGGTCCTGAGTATCCCCTCTTACACCCAGGTTGGTGACCTTTCTTGGCCCTGGCATCCGCTCTCGCCCCATGCCCACAGACTGGCACTTGGACCTGGCAAGGACTGCAAAGGTAGCCCTGGAAACAGCACCCTCCCAGTGCCAGCTCGACAGGGAAACTGGGAGCAAAAAACCAAGAGGGGACACACACCTTTGGCATCCTGTGAAGACGAGGGCTATGAAGGAAAAAAAAAGAACCAGCTTCAGTGATTGGCAGGTTAAATCTCATCCCTGTCAACTCATAAAACATTTTCTGTGCCCGCTTTATAGCTGCCAACAGAAATGCGGGGGGAAGACGACAAGAGTTTGAAAGAGCAAGGCAGCAGTTTGGAAGTACGTTCCATGCAGGCCCTGCAAAGACTGTAACTAAGCGACTGGCGTTTCTGCCACGCAAGACTCCAATTGGAGAACATGATGGATGACGCTCGGCTATGGATGTCTTTTGTTGGAGAATATGAATTATGGTGCACCCAGAGAGGTGGGGGAAAACCAGGGGTCAAGGGTGACAGTGAATTACCTGTCTCAGAATGGCTACACCCAGGTCATGCCAATATGTCGCTCCTAATGAATTCTTCGAATCTCTTTGAAGTTTGGCTCGAGGCTCATGATTCAATTAGGGTGATTGCTGGAATCCTAACAGCCTCTTCCCCCGCCCCACCCGCCTCAAATCTCTCCTGGAAAAGGAGACCCAAATGAGGAACATGAGTTGTCCCCTTGCAGGGGAAAAATTACTGACAACGGGTGCTCTGAATTAAAGCAAGCAGGAAGGTGACCGTCTGGGAAAGAACTCTTTCTTTCTTTCTTTCTTTCTTTCTTTCTTTCTTTCTTTCTTTCT